AGTAGGTGTCTATTTACTTGTGACCACTCATTGTACATGCAAAGTCATTAACATACCTTGAAAACATTAATCCGAGTCAGAAATACTTCAGATATTGGCAACATCATTCAATGTTCCATGTGACCTTTAGATTGAATATTTACAATCTTGTTGGTGAATCTTGCATCTCCAAGATATCACAAAGAGTTGCAACTTGTGCACAACATCCCACCAGCCTGGCTCCAACCTTGCATAGACACAACCAACCCGTCCCAACCTGAAACCGTTTTTCATACTCGATCCAGAGGTTTTATTTTTTGGACGATGTGTGTATGGATTGGATCTTATCCTTAAGAATGTTACATTTTTTCTTATGAACAAAAATAGAATAATATCCATCTTCATCTATGTGTTCTACACTGTAAGATTTGGCTTGTTTGAGTTGGTATACAACTTGGGTTTCATTTGTCCCAGGCGAGGGAAGTCCTATACTGATTGGGCGTCCATTTCCTTCCAGAAAGTTCTCCTACTCGTTCATCTCTGTTTCTTAACCATCTGCTGCAACTTATGGGAGAGAAGCGAGTCTCAGCATCTTGTCTGGAACTATATCATCCTGGAAGCACACTTGAAAGTATTACAGAGTGCGCAAACGATTAGTATGCAATCTGCTGCAAACATAATCTCTGGGTTTGGGAGAACACCATCATGTGATTTCCTCTTCTCGATATTTCAGTCTTCACAATCTCTAAAACTCATCTGACTGTTTTCATAAGTCTGGATTCGTTTACTTCAGTCATGTATGTTGTTTGTTTGTTTTTACCTTGGTAACGAAATTAGACATCATTGACTTCTTTCTAAGTCATTAAAGGAGTCAAGGCAGTCTTTAAATCCATAATAAAACATTTTCTTCGTTTAACTGCCTTTGGACTTCCTAGGAATTGTTGTTCATCAAATGGGTGGATATTCTGGCATCATTTTCTTGACATAACTGTTAGTACTTACCCATCAGCACTAACAAGCATCATTGGTTTCAACAACGGCTGTCCTTTGTGCACTGGAAAGGATATTTTGTGGAAAGCTTGTTTGGTGATCTTTTGAATGTAGATGTATGTTTTATCTGCGACAGTAATTGCAACATCCTGGCCTTCAGCAAATACTTTTTCTTTTTCTAATAGACTTGCGTGTTTCTGTATAAAAACCTCTCTGGCGGTATATTTGTAAGTCCATCTTTATGTGATACAAAGTTATTCATCAATGCATTTTTTGCTGAACAAAAGACTTTGCTCAAAGCAAGCTTTTCAATACTAAACAAGGTTGAAAGTAAAGGAAGCGATAGGCCAGTTTTGAGTTTAGTTATAGCACTTCCAATGATGTTCATACGTTGCTAGAGGAAGTATTCCTCATAAATTGTTCCTGTGGATTCCAGTGAGATTATATTAGTCACTTACTCTTCTTTAAAAATCTCAAACATCTTCACTTGGGCTGCATTTAGAAGATTTTCTAGTAATCACATAATTTTAAGTTAATGACATTCAAATCTACGTATCTGGAAGTGTCCTTATTACAAGTTTCTGGTATGAATTGAGTGCTAATAAGGTAATATTTACATGTATGAGAACGTAGGTTCTCATAAAAGCATTATTGCGTGCTTTTACGGGTGCTAGAAACAGCTTGCCTGATGCACTTTAGATGGCTCATTTCTGTACAAAGAACCTGATATACCACGGGCTATTGAAGGATGTTGAACTTGTTGTCTGTGATGCTTTTAGAAATCTTCATCATCTATGGGTCTGCCTTGACATTCGTATTAGGGTGGTTTTGTAGTAATCTATTTTAAGCAACATATATTTTAGACTCAAGCAACATCTGTTCACGTTCCTTCAAGAATGTCGATGTTTTCACACTGTCTTTTGTAATCGAACGTGGCGCACCCTTAGACCAAATATGTGAGCCACAACAGTTACTTTGCGACGTTTGGGGCATGTTTGCAAAATGTGGTTATCCATTCTAATCACTATTTCCAAAATACGAAAATAATAAACGTTCATATTTCACTAAGAGCACGACCTTAAACCAAGCTGATTTGTTTTGCAAAGAGACAAATATAGATATGCATAATTAATGGATGCAAAAATTGTTTTGGCTCTGGACTGCAATCATGATGAGGTTTGATCTCTAACAGGCAAAAATCAATAATTATTTGGATTTTCTATGAAACAGGCTAAGTGAGACCCTCAATTAGAGAAGTAATTTAACCAGTATATATTAACTATTCTAGTTTGTGAAACCAACAACTGCTATTTTTATTTGAAGGCAATTGTTTTTCTTAAAAGCAATTCGATTTCCAACTACATTCTGAGGTCAAATTTCAACGAATAAAGAAAACAAAAAAGCAGTTCAAATAACCTTCAGCGAACCAACCAGAGCGGCTGGTAAAGTTACCAACCTATATACTTTTTTTTTACCAATACAGTAATTTATTTTTATTTATTTGTCTTACTTCATTTTATATTCTTTTGTTTTTGCATTATTATAAGGAACAGCTCGAGTAACCCTTCTAGGCCCTCTAGTTAGGAATCAATGTCCTATCTAAATACTACTTGCCAATGTATAGTCTTCACGAAATACAATATATCATGTCCTAATTATCACTTAAATGAAAACAAAACAAAATTAAAAATGGAAGAAAAAAATATATAATATAAAAAATAAACCGACCACCTACAAATGATAAAAGGAAGGTTTAAATGAAAAACGGAAATTGAAAACACTGCAGACAAATATATACTTATGTTTTATGAATGATAGTGAACAGGGATCTCAGTTTTCAAAAGACAACTTTGTTTGAGACCAGTGTTTCTCAAATGTTTTTGTTCGCTTACCACATGATTTTTTTACGACAATGAGATCTATACACTATGTTGCCGTTCCTTTTCCATATTTGTACAACCTTTCCACGGATCACCAGATTAAGACGCTTCCAAAATAGTGGAATTTCGTGCGATGCAGTGCAATGTTCTGGTGGTGGACTAAAACATCGTAAAGTCGATAAAAAATGACAATGAAACCCGGATATTCTGAAAAATCCACTTTTCTAGTTTGTACTAGTTCATCATATTGACAATGACATCATATCCTAACAATATCTATAGATTAGAAGGATGTGACTCATCACTTCAGAAAAAGAAATGTCGTGTAACTGCTTGTGCAATAATTAATTTCTAGGTGCAAAAAGTTGCCCAATAATTCAGCTGAAACCTACTTTTACATGTGTACCTGTGGTTTGTTCTTCTCGTCGAGACCTTCTTTTAGAAGTTCTGTATTAATTGTGTTTCATTAAACCATAGTGGATCTTGTTAACTTGAAACATAACTTGCTACTCACAAATTATCACATATTGTCTTTAATTTGTAACGTCAATCTGAAAAAAAAAATTACAAAAAAGACGAGGTAATAGCTTGCAAAACGCATCTGCTTGGAGAGAAATCGGTAAGTTTACGGACTTATAATGCCAAATTCCGGAGTTCGATTCCCCGCTGTGGACACAGCAGTCTGATGCTGCTTGGCTTTTAAACAAACAAAGCTTTTGCTCTGTAATTTCAGGTGTTTTTTCATGATTATACTTTCAATCGTTAATAAGGCACGCTAAATTTGTCCCCACCAGTAAGTATGAGGGCTTTAAACACTAAAAACCAGGTCTCTATAATCGTGGTGAGCAAAGCATAGACAACTGTGTAGCTTTGTGATAAAACACAAATATTCTTCTGATCTTTTTACACCCACCATACCCAAATTTCAATACTTCCCACGCGGAATGTGTAGAAGTGCGGATCTGAGGTTCCGTAGTTCTTGCTCTGTACCCCCCCCCCCCAATAAAAAAAAGGATTAACGATCAAATCGTACTATTCGCTCTAACAAGAGTAACCCAGGAGTGAGTTGGCTGTGGGTGGTGTTGACTAGCTGTCTTCCCTTCAGTTTATGAGTTCAAAGTTAAGAACGACTAGAGCAAATAGCTCTCGAATAGCTTTACGCAAAATTGAACAAACCAACGAACTGTTCTCTGTGTTCATATTTTTTTTCTAATGGCAGTACAACTGAAGCGCCCTCTTCACATCCAGTAATGTAAACAAAGGTGGTTAAATTTTTACTAAATTAATTGACAAAGATTACTCGAGAGGAGTAAGAGGTAATGTTTCGTGTTAAACTCAATAATGCTCTTAAAGTAAACTTTAATATGTATGAAGTTTTAGCATTTTATTTCTCTGTTTAGGCGAATAACTTTTTTTAAGGTATTTATTCTAAGAAATTTAATTAATCTGTAGAAGTTTATCATTTTTTTAATTATTATATTTTTAACACAACCAAATTAGAATAACCTAGCTCGGACATCAACTATTGCACAGAGAGAGAGAGAGAGCCGAATAACTCAATTTATCCAAAGTTACCTAGAATAACAAAATAGCAAGCATTTGAAGTCGTTGGCAATTATGTTTGAAAGGGAAAAGGGCAGTACTACCCGTCTGTTCGGGGCTTCCCTTGACTGCTCAACTGTAAGAAGGTCACGTGGTACACAGCCTATTATCTCGCTTATGTTATGTCAAGATTTATTTGCTCTAGGTGGCGCAACGCTACCTCACTCGGGAAGTTACTTTAAAGAGAGTATTTGATTATTGCAGTTTATACAAGAAAGAAATGTTCCAAGTATCAGCGCGAATTTTAGTTATTGTACTTTATTTGGTGAGATGTTTATGTACAACTCACAGTAAGTTATTCGAATGGGCTCACCATACGGTTTTAGACGGAGAAAACAATTTTCACCTGAAATGGAAACCTGGCGAAAAAGACATAACCTTCCAAGTGGAAGTCGCCACACACGGCTATTTCGGTTTTGGGCTGTCTCCTAATGGAGGTATGAAAGGAAGCGACATGGTAATTGGATGGATGAAGGACGGGAGGCATTTCTTTCACGTGAGTAACTGGGTATTTATTTTCTTTTATAAAAAAACAAAAACAAATCCGTTTTACATAAGGTACTTTTTTGAAATGTTAAAACGTTAATGAAACTTTTAGTGAAAAAAACATTTTTAGGCAGGATTCTTCTACAGATTCGGTTGCATTTCTGTTTATACATTTCGCTTTGTTGTTGATGATTTACATAATTAAACCATCGAAACTTTATCCTATGCTGCAAATTAAGCAGTTCAAGTTTCAATGAGTTAACTTTAAGGATGAAAAACGGAAACGAAATCTCGTCCATTATTGTGAACCAATTGCGTAAAACCCACAAAATCTAGATATGATCAGACAACTTCTTTCTACGCCATTTATGAAAAACAGTTCTTTCTATTTTAGTGAATGGTGTTTCTTTGTTTTTCAGTACTTTTTATTTACCAGCATTTACAGCTTAAACCAAATGAACTAATAAGTATGATAAGAACATTTTATCCTTAGTTTGCTATTTCATAACGTGATAATCTTAAAAATGGTATACAAGATGAAAAGGTATGGTAGTTCATACGTACTTTCTGTATTAGTAAAGAAACGCTTTTTCCTTTCTTATACTACAGGAACTTAGTTTCGATGATTTGTATCAGTTTACCCAGTTTACCTTTCTTTGAAACCTTTCAGGTGACACATTTTCAATTACACAGAAGCGAGCAATTAGCTTGGTCTGTTCTACAGTTTACAATTCACTTGCTTAATCTGGTTCATGCTATAACAGTGTGTGTGTGTGTGTGTATATATATATATGTGTGTGTGTATATATATATATATGTGTGTGTGTATATATATATGTGTGTGTATATATATATATATATGTGTGTGTGTATATATATATATGTGTGTGTGTGTGTGTATGTGTGTGTAAATATACATATATGTATGTATATATATATATATAGCTCCTAGAGAACTACCGTCTGTCCATCCAAGCCGGTCTGATGAGGTAATGGGCGAAGGCCCTCTCTGGTACTACATTCGGCAGTTGCGGTGTGGTTGACATATTTAATATATTCTTCTTCTTTGCTTTCACTTATGGGTTTTTAAAAGTATCGAAATCCTGTAAATCTTTTCTTACTTAGTGTTTAGGATATATATAAATATTGTAAGACAATAACCTTATATTTTTAATTTTAATTAGTTGTGCCTTAGTTTTATACGATATTGAAATATTAAAAACATCTTGGATAATCTTGAAGGAGCGCAATAGAATGCGGAACATGGAGGAAAAAAAGCTTTGTTCGTATTTGGAGTTTTATTTAATTACGCCATAAAACGAAATGGAAAATGGAGTATTTTGTAATAATAAATTTATTGTATTAATGAGAACCCTATCCATGTATAATCCATGCAGAAAGTGGACCGAAAGTGAGGTTTTAATCTAACGCATCAGTTTTCAATCTGTGGTTTGCGGGCCTCCTTCAGGTGGTCACTGGAAGGTGGAATAATGCCAGAAAGGAAGCGGCAACACAGTACGGAGTTCCGATTGTGGTTCGCAAACATAAAAGTTTGATACCACTGGTTTAAGGAAGACGTGAAACTGAAAACCTCGGCTAGTAGGGCTGCATATTGTAAAACAAAACATTTCTGTTAATTTTACAATGTGAGTTTTTTGTTTTAAGATTTGATGATAGAACATTCTACGAGTTCCAAAATGCTAATAACTATAATGCAGCCAATAAGAAGTTATTATAGTTACTTATCCAATTCGTTCTGATCATGGTGTATTACTACAGACAATAGATGCGCTACTAGAGCCCGGTAAATAGATTTAGGATGCAGCGAAGGTCACACTTACTCATGCTTTACGCAGCTTTAATGGGCTTTGTTCACTTGGAAACACACCGGATAAATCAGTGAACCGGATACTGTTTCTCTGAACGTCGGTAAAAGTTAAAGATGGTGTTTTAGGTGTCTCGAACTAGCATGCAAGAACCGCAACGTTGTCATGTGGCAAGAAGACTAGCTTGCTGATTCTTCAGTTCTGCTGAGTGATAGTAAAATTAATTCAAATTAAAAAAAAATATATTAATAGGTGGCGTTAAAAGTAAAGTAACTACTAATGTTTTATTAATCCTTGCCCTAATTATGATTTTTAGATGACTTAAATATATAAAAAGATGATAATTACACTGCACTTACTTATTGTAGTTCAAACCGAAACAGCTGTTGTTCATGAAACTTTATGATGCAAATAGCGCCTCGACCACTATTATGTCTGTCGTATCCGTCTCATTCTGATGTATGCTGGTCGGAACTGGATATGGCAAATATAGCATGGTTACTGGTTGACATATTGTCATAGTTCTTTGCTTTCTTTCATAAGCTCTTGTGTTATAATTCTTATTAATTATTTATTTCATATGCTGATTTCAAAACTACTCCTTTTCTCATCTTTATTTCTAGGTTTTAAATTTTAAAATTGACAAAATGACTAATTGTTGTTGAATAATATTCAATCTTTTAATAAAAAGGACATTAGACGTATTAAAATAGTTTTAGATAATGAACTTTTAATTTATTGAAAAAGAGCATATCTTGGTTGAGAAGTAGTCTTGTGTATAATTGCATGCCGTTTACTTTTCAATTAAAATGCATTAAGATAAAGTGACTCTTATTAACCGTTAAAAACTGTATTAAACATAACGGAAAAATAACAGTGTTATCAGTTGAGTTCAAACAAAGATAAAAAAAACAGTCAGTTTGGAATCAAATGAAAGTTTTTTTTACAATCTATTGGAAAAAAAACTCCTGAAGGAAAGTAGCGTTTGTGTGCTACACACGGAGGAAACAGGAAACCCTTCTGATCAGTTCTCCATCAACTTCAAAAACAGTTGAAAAGCACTGTTTATCATTTATCTGTAAATTTAAGATATGGTTGAAAAACAGTTAATCAGTTCTCCGTTATCATCAGATCCATTTGAAAAAACAGTTATTCGTAAATGTAAAACACTGTGTATCATTTCTTCATTAACGTCAAACATTGTTTATTAGATCTTCATGAATGTAAAACACGGCTTGTCAGTTCTCAATTCGTCAAGCATTGTTTAACAATTCTCCATTAGTGTAAGACAGTGGAAAAGCACCGTTTATATTTATATAGATATATATGGGGCCAATAACAGGGAGGGGGGGGGGCGAGGAGGGCCGTTTGGCTCAGGCCTCAAGCTCAAAGGGAACCTCAAATTTTGACACTTGGTATTTTTTGCATTTGTTAAATTTCGCCACTTATTTTTACGTGCCTCTCAATCAGAACAAAATGTGGCATACAATTTTAGTTTAGATCTGCAAATTATATATATATATATTAAATATTAAAATTATGTTTCACTTTTCTTTTAGGTTAATAGTCTTCTTATTTTGTTTTCATGTGGCATCATTTCATTATAGCCAGGGTCCTCAAAAGATAGAAGTGGCCCGGGCCTCTCTTAACCTATATATACGTAAAATACAGTTGTTGAAAAATAAATTAACACCATAATTAACATACTTTTTCAGTCCATCGTTGATATCAAACAATTATAGAATACTTTTATCATTTCACAATTAATGTCAAACACAGTTAATAATACTTATCAGTCATCATAACTTAGCAGTTTTCAATTGACATGAAACAAAAACACTTAAAAACTAATAAAAACCGTTAAATGGTCGAATACATTGCTTATCCGTTTGCTAGTAACGTCATACACAATTGAAAAACACTGTTCATCAGTTCTGAATTAACGTCAAACACACATAAAAACGCTATTTATCAGTTCTTCATTAAAGTCAAGCATAGTTAAAAGACATAGCCTATTAGTTTTCATTGCTGTGTAACCTTGTTTGTTTGTTGTTAAGTGCAAAACTACACAATGGGGTTCTGTACCCTATTTTTAACGTTATAAGCCCTCAGAGTTACAGCTGAGCCACTGGGGGGAAGGGGAGGAAAATGTTAAACAGTGATCAAAAAACACTTCATTAATTCCCTTGGGGTTTCAAGACTCAACGAAAGAAAATTCTAAATCACTTTCAATTAAAACTAAAACTTTTCACAAGAGTTATTACGACCACAATACGACGATTTAACAAAACTCTTTTGTAATGAAAATCAAGTATTTGTTCTATTTTTTTGCTCAGATTTTTAGGGATTTTTGTTCATTTTTAGTAGTTCTAATAATGCTTTAAAACTAGATTAGTTGTCCTTTGGCGACTCAGCAATAAGCTTGAGAGTTTATAATGCTAGAATTCGGGGTTGGATCTCCACAGTGCAGCCAATCCATTATAGTGCTTTGCGTTAAAATAAACTACAGCACTGCCACCTTTTTCAGCGGGCCCGGCATGGCCAGGTGGTTAGGGCGCTCGACTCGCAATCTGCGGGTA